ATCAATATAAATTGTTAGAATATTATCATTTATTTAGTTAGTTTAAAAAATTTCAATTTTATTGGAAAATTTTATAATATTGGTTGATAACCTATATTAAAAAAAAATGAAAAATCGGTCCAATCTATATAAAAAATGTTGCACCCTTACTAATTCATAATAGCATTAGAAAGGCTGATTAGTATTTGTATGGGGTAAAAATTTATAATAAGGGTCATAATTTGCTAAAATATATGAAAATGATTAATATAAATTAGAGATCAGTAAAGCCCAGTCCATTAAGATTTTTTGCACAAGTTGCTCAACCCAGCATTTAAATATTTGTCGAGTCCAATAAATTTTCTTATCAATTTTCCAGCCCATCCCATTAATTTTTTGTATGAATTTTCCAACCATCATCAGGCTGGACTTGGTCCGTTAATTTTTCTGTATGAATTTTCCATCATTATGTTTATATCTAATCATTTCCCTAATGTAGGCTTTTATATCTCTATTATAGCTATTTCTATAACATTCGTTTAATATATTAATTGCATTTTGATATAAATGTGTATTATTAATTGGATCATATTATATATAAGTCTGATTTTATATAAATTTATTATTTTGTATAAATTTACTATTTTATTTATAGATAATATTTTAGTTAGACAGCTCTAAATAAGCACATAGTAATTTATTTTCAAACAATAATCAAAATTTTAATGTCCATGCTGGTATTTAAATTTTATGAAATGTCCAACCACTTAACTAATAAAAATGGGGAACAAATTCTTTCATTTTATATATTTACTTAATTTAGTTAGGAAGTTCTTAAAATGAAAAGAAATAAGGTCATTATTGTAATTTAAAATTATCAAAGATTAAATTCAAAATAGATAGACATTAGAGGTGAGCGCGGGCTGTGAAATAACGCGTGACGGGCCTTCCCAAAATTTTTTCCGGGCGTGAACATAAATTTCCCGTGAATCACGGAAATTTTAATTTTTTTCTTTATATAAATTTGCAATTTTATAATTATAATATATATTTTCTAATTTAATTTAGTTCCTTTTTTAAAAAGAATAATTTTTGAAAACCAAAAATCTTCCGCATTTTGTAAACAACATCCGGTAATCATGCAACTAGTTCTATTTTATTTTTATGCTTAGGTGTTTAATCGCGAGACATTTTGCTAAATATTTAATCTTTTTACAAAAAAGTCAGAGATCTTTACAAATTTTACAAACTAGGCTAAGAGTTAATAAATGTTGGTGGGACAACAAAATATAAAAGATATACTTATGAGTTGGAAAACTCTCATGAATACTATAGTTCCAAAAATATCAATGAGATTATGATTAAAAGCACGATCAATAATAATTACTTGTCTTTAACCACTGATTTTTGGATGGATGACTATAAAAATCGAAGTTTTTTAATCATTACAGGACATATTATCATTAAGGATTTTGAATTAAAAACATTTATTTTGGCCATAAGGGAAATAAAAACAGGTGACAATATTAAAAGTAAGTCAATTTAATTTTAGAAGAATACAGAAAAGTAGAAAATTATTTATATATAGTTGTGTGACTGATAACGGAGTAAACTTATAAGTGTTCAAAGATGACGAAACGCTAGCATGTATATGCCATATACTAAATAATATTATGCATTATATTTTTGACTGAAATAGCCTTAAAAATAAATGGTTTAAAAAAAATATTACATATTCCAAACAATCTACAGCTAATAGCAAGCTAAGCCACACCCTTAAACAAGATGTAATAACGAGATAGAACTCTGTATATATAATGATACAGAGTTTCTTAAAATCATATTTGAAATACATGTGTACTTCAAGCAAGAATTAAATAGATTAGCCACAATTGATATCAACATCATCGGCGTGTTAGATAAATTTTTATCAATATTTAAAGAATGCTCGGATAATCTGGGCGCAGATTCTCGTTCCACAATAAATGAAGTTTATCTATGGAAAAAAAATTAGTAAAATTTTGTTAACCTTCTGAACGTGATACAATAATAATTAAAACCTTAAAAAAACAGAACAAGATTTTATTAGCCACTACATAATGTAGTCTTAATTCTAGATCCGAATTTCAAAAGTCTTAAGTTTTTAATAGAAGAAATTTAAAAAAACCGTGAATTTTCGGGCGTAAATCAAAATATTGCCTTTCGTGAGCGGGCGGGTCGGGTCGAATTTTTTTTAGCGGTAAGCGTGATTTTTTATTACCACCATGAGTGGGCGGGCCGTGAATAAAAAATTAGGCCGACGCTCACCTCTAGTAGACATTGCCCAGCTAGATTAGTTAAATTTTTTGGAACAGCTAATGTGATGTGCTTTCTCAATCCCAATATAAATATTAATAATTTGCACTAGAAACATCAAGCCCACAGTAAAAAAAAATTTTAGGCCTATATTTAATATTTTCATAAAAATCCCAAGTTCATATCCAAAAATTTAATTTATTGAATTTAATACAAATAAACAATATATAAGTGTATTTAGGCAATCTTTTAGTTTACAATATTGAAATTTATTAGCAGAAGAAAAAAATTGCAATAGTTTTTTAAGTTAGCAACTATTTTAAATAAGCTAAATTTAAATAAAATACCATTTTCTGAATCTCCTTGATAAGCTAAACATGATTGTGCATTCATTTTTTGAAAATAATGTACAAGGGTGTGTAGGGGAATAGTCAAAAAAAGGAAGTGTTTTTTCAAAAGCCCACTAAGTTATTAAAAATTTATAAACTTAATATTAAGATTTTCTAAATCCTTTTAATGAGCTGAATGTGATTATGCTTTCATTTTTTTTAAAAATACTGTATATTTTAAGAGGGCACATATTTTATTTTAAAAATATTTTCTCAATAATTAAATTTTTTTTTAAAAAAAATGAAACTACCATTTTCTAAATCTCCTTAAAAAGCTAAACATGATTCTGCATTCATTTTTTAAAATAATATAAATTTAAGAAGGGCACATATTTTTGTCAAAAAAAAAGAAAAAAAAAATGTTTTTTCAAAATTCCACAAAATTATAAAAAATTTTATAAATTTAATATAAACATTTTCTAAATCCTTTTAATGAGCTGAATATGATTATGCTTTTATTTATTAAAAAATAAGGTATATTGACTGAGGCTACATAGTTTAGTAAAAAAAAATAATATGTTTTTCCAAAAGACCACTAAGTTATAATATTATTTTAAAATGTAATTTTAACATTTTTTGATTCCTTTTAATAAGCTTATATAATTCTGTGTTCATTTTTATAAATTAAACTTCTTTGATAGAAGGCTCATAAGAGCACATATTTTGGGCATGACTAAAATACGCGTCCCCGGTCAAACGGGTTTAATTTATATAATATTAATAAAAAATCTTATTTAGCTTTATAAGATGAGTTAAAAAATGTTTTTTATGATTTTTTAAAAAAATGATAACTTAGTAAAAATTTAAAAAAATTATTGCGTCCCCGGTAAAGATACAATTTTTTCTTAAAAATAAAAGCAGATTCATATTTAGCTCATTAAATGAATATAGAAAATGTTTTTTATGATTTAAAAAAAAAGGATAACTTAGAAAAATTTTTAAAAAATTATTTTTTTAAATGAAAAATTACGCGTCCCTGGTCAAGATACATTTTTTTAAAAAAAATAAAAGCAGATTCATATTTAGCTCATTAAATGGATACAAAAAATGTTTTTTTTGATTTAAAAAAAAGTGGTAACTTAGTAAAATTTTTAAAATACTAATTTTTTACATAAAAAAACTACGCGTCACAGGTCAAGATACAATTTTTTTTAAAAAATAAAATCAGATTCATATTAAGCTCATTAAATGGATACAGAAAATGTTTTTTTTGATTTTGAAAAAAAGTGGTAACTTAGTAAAATTTTGAAAAAACACTTTTTTTCTTCATTTTTTGACTAAAATACGCGTCCCCGGTCAAGATACAATTTTTTTTTAAAAATATAAGCAGATTCATATTAAGCTCATTAAATGGATATAGAAAATGTTTTTTTTGATTTTGAAAAAAAGTGGTAACTTAGTAAAATTTTGAAAAAACACTTTTTTTCTTCATTTTTTGACTAAAATACGCGTCCCCGGTCAAGATAGATTATTTTTATAAAAATGAATATAGAATCGTGTATAGTTTTTCAAGGAAATCAAAAATGAAGAAAAAAAGTGTTTTTTCAAAATTTTACTAAGTTACTACTTTTTTTAAATCAAAAAAAACATTTTCTGTATCCATTTAATGAGCTTAATATGAATCTGCTTTTATTTTTTTAAAAAAAATTGTATCTTGACCAGGGACTTTCATGTAAAAAATTAGTATTTTAAAAATTTTACTAAGTTACCACTTTTTTTAAATAAAAAAAAAACATTTTCTGTATCCATTTAATTAAATAAGAATCTGCTTTTATTTTTTTTAAAAAAATGTATCTTGACAGAGGACACGTAGTTTTTCATTTAAAAAAATATTTTTTTAAAAATTTTACTAAGTTATCATTTTTTTTAAATCATAAAAAACATTTTCTATATTCATTTAATGAGCTAAATATAAATCTGCTTTTATTTAAAAAAAAAAATTGTATCTTGACCAGGGACACGTAGTTTTTTCTTGTAAAAAAATAATTTTTTAAAAATTTTATTAAGTTATCATTTTTTTTAAAATCATAAAAAACATTTTTTAACTCATCTTATAAAGCTAAATAAGATTTTTTATTAATATTATATAAATTAAACCCGTTTGACTGGGGACGCGTATTTTAGTCATGCCCCATATTTTAGTTATGATAAAAAAATTATTTTAAAATTTTACTATGTTACAATATTTTTTTTAAATTAAAAAAAAACATTTTCTAAATTATCTTATAAAGATAAATATGATTCTATATTAATATAATTTAAATTAAGCTTCCCCAATAAAGAGTACATATTTTAATCTTGCCCAAATAAATTTATTTATTAAATCATAACTATTACTTGATTTGTAAATATTGTAAATGATGACATATATGGTTAAAGTAGCTATAATTATTTCTTCATTTACTCTTTAAACAAAAATTATTAAATATTAATTTAAAATACATACCTTCCTAAACAATGTAAGTTAATGAGCTCAATGCCATTATTTTTTATAATATGTTCACAAATTTTGGCATCTTTTAAAAAATATTCATATTAATAAAATATTTTATTACCAAAACAAAGATTACAAAGTCCATTGATGGAATATGTTACTAAATATTCATTTTTTTCATCTAAGTTATCTGAATTAAAGTTAGAAAATAAAAACATAGAATAAAAATACCTAAAAATAGTTCAATTATGTTTAATTGAAAAATATAATCATAATTTAAAGGGTCATAAGAAAAATTTGCTAAATTAGCTAAAATTTGTTCTTTTGATTCTTATATAAATATAATAAATTAATAATAATAATTTTAAAACCATTATCCACCTTTGATTCATATTCTGAAAGTAAATTTTGCAAATATTTAAATCTCTGTAATAAGTGCATTTGGTTGATATGCTTAGGTTTAAACATAAAAGAATATTTATTACAAAAATCCAAAATAAATAGGTATGATTATGAAAAATTCATCATATAAAAGGGTTGAGTATGCTAGTTGGTCTAAATATTAAAATAATTATTTATCTAGATGTAATAAAAAATTTTTGTGTACCTGAAGAATCTTTTGATGTAGTTTTTTTACTTTTAGTTATATCCATCTATAAATATACCAAAAGAAAAAGTTTTATTGATATAACAAAATGGAATTTCTAAAATAAATTATATTTTATTAGCTAAAAATCTAAAATATTTAAAAAAATACAAATATATTAAATCTTCGATGAGAGAAATGATTGACGTTATGTTTAGAATAAATGACAGACATCATATTTTAATAAGAATAGCTTTAATTTTATTATATATCATATTTCTATTTTAATTGTTTGACAACATGAATCGCATGATATGTCAGCGTTCAGCGCAACATTTTTTAAAAAATATTTTACTACATATTATTTTTACTAAGAAAGCGAACATAGAGCCTGATAAAATGACAGGTGATTCATAATTTTATCCTTTATTTATTTGCAAAGGAAACAGAAATTTTCCTATTTTGTGATAACCGTCTATACTTTAAGACTTGGTAGTTATCGCTTATTACTTGTAGAACTATTTAAAATTAATCCAAATATATTATTAATTTAATCAGATTCTTTGAATCAAGGTAACTATCACTCATTTTATTTTCGGATCTGACATAATAACTTTATTAAGGATGGTAAATGTTTAAATAATGTAATAATTATTAATATATTAAAGGCCTATCATTCTTCTTTTATAAATGAAGATATATCTATATGTAATATTGCATTACTTCCTTTACGTACCACTTTCAAGGGGCCAGCGACAAAAGATGGTTAATTTATAAACTGCAATTTTTATTAATTTTACCTTGAAAGCTGATTTAAAATATGATGTAATTGATGAAGCATTATATTATTTTAAAGCAAATATTTTCCTAAAAAATTTTCCTATTCAAGTTTGATTATAATAATTTCACATATAATTCTATATATCAGAGCAATGCTGACAGAGTTTTGATATATTTAATGTTATATGTCTCTGAGTGTCTAAAGAAAATGCAAAAGGTAAGAAAAACTGATAATTTACTTACTAATTTATCTGGAATGTTACCAGAATATACCTTTATATTTATATATCTTAACATACACTATTATTTGAAAATTATAAAAGTAAGCTGAACCCTTATTTTTAATATAGATGATATATAGAGATCTAGATTTACTTTTCCTTATAAAGTTACTGGGCTCCTTTATTTCAAACTAAATCACATTTTCAATAAACTCAACTTTTATTTATTGTATAATACTAATTTTTTAAAAAGTTATATGTATTTTTAGCCAAACCTAGAGCTATAATTAAAAAATTTTTCATAAGGGTCCTAGACACCACATTTTTTTGCATAATAATTATCATTCACCTTTGCTTGATGTTGATGAACTCCATCTTTATTTATGACTTGGCATGGACAAGGGCGTTTTGCCCCCCCCCATCACCACAGGACTACCAGGGCAGAATAGGCAAAAGAGAATTAATTTAAAAATAATTACTTTTCTTCCAATTTTAAAATTATTTAGCATATACTATATATTTTTAACAAATCTAGGTTGGGACTTGCAATTAGTCTCTCTTCAGGCTGATATAAACGTAGAATTTTTAAAAAAAATTTAAACTCACTTAAAAAGTTGGGCTTTGATTGGTTACAATATTGAGAATAGAAACATCAATTATTTGCCTGTTATCATTCCTGATGTTATAACTGCTAGTAAAAATATAGCTATTTGCCTTTTTGCCAGTTTTAAGATAAGATTGGCAAATAACTAGTTTATTTAAATTATGAATTAGATAATATATAAAAATATTCAAATGCACTACAAAATATTAATAATTGGTGAATAACTATAAATTAAATTTTTTTTTTACTGTCAAGCCCAGACCGGCTTGAACTAAAAAAAAATTTCAAGCCTTACTCAGGATTTTTGGGCATGACTAAAATACGCGTCCCCGAAAACTACGCGTCCCCGAAAACTACGCGTCTCCGGTCAAACGGGTTTAATTTATATAATATTAATAAAAAATCTTATTTAGCTTTATAAGATGAGTTAAAAAATGTTTTTATGATTTAAAAAAAAATGATAACTTAGTAAATTTTTTAAAAAATTATTTTTTTACATCAAAAAACTACGCGTCCCCGGTCAAGATACATTTTTTTTAAAAAATAAAAGCAGATTCATATTTAGCTCATTAAATGAATATAGAAAATGTTTTTTATGATTTAAAAAAAAATGATAACTTAGTAAAATTTTTCAAAAATTATTTTTTTAAATTAAAAACTACGCGTCCCCGGTCAAGATACATTTTTTTAAAAAAATAAAAGCAGATTCATATTTAGCTCATTAAAGGATATAGAAAATGTTTTTTTTGATTTAAAAAAAAGTGGTAACTTAGTAAAATTTTTAAAATACTAATTTTTTACATAAAAACATTACGCGTCCTCGGTCAAGATACATTTTTTTTTAAAAAAATAAAAGCAGATTCATATTTAGCTCATTAAATGGATACAGAAAATGCTTTTTTTTATTTAAAAAAAAAGAGGTAACTTTGTAAAATTTTGAAAAAACACTTTTTTTCTTCATTTTTTGACTAAAATACGCGTCCCCGGTCAAGATAGATTATTTTTATAAAAATGAATATAGAATCGTGTATAGTTTTTCAAGGAGATTCCGAAAATGGTATTTTTTAAAAAAAAAATTTTTTTTGACTAAACTACGCCTCTCCGGTCAAGATACATTTTTTTAAAAAAATAAAAGCAGATTCATATTTAGATCATTAAATGGATACAGAAAATGTTTTTTTTGATTTTAAAAAAAAGTGGTAACTTAGTAAAATTTTGAAAAAACATTTTTTTTTTTCATTTTTTTGACTAAAATACGCGTCCCCGGTCAAGATAGATTATTTTTATAAAAATGAATATAGAATCGAAATTATTAATACCATTTTCGGAATCTCCTTCAAAAACTATAAGATACTCATCTTATAAAGCTAAATAAGATTTTTTATTAATATTATTATAAATTAAACCCGTTTGACCGGGGACGCGTAGGGACGCTTAGTTTTCGGGGACACGTATTTTAGTCATGCCCGGATTATTGGATTTTTTTTTGGCCTTGTCTGGATATTTTTTGATCATTTTAAAATTGCAAATTGCTTGAATATATGAAAATATGAAATGAATATTAAACGTTCCTTTTAAGATTTACCCACTCATCAATTGATATAGCTATTTAAGAAATTTTGGCCATCTCAAATTTTATATTTTTTTAAAATTCTGGCGCTGATTTTTAAAAATATATCATTCCTTAACACAAGCTGGGTTCCAGGACAGACCTTCAGGTCTCTGAATCTATAATTTGTAAGATGTCGATTTTTTCTAAAAATTTGAATTGTAAAATTGTTAACTTTTGCTTATATTTTCAAATAATTGCTTATAGTGATTTATTTTACACCAATTTAAGGAGAGGAGAATGGGGGTGGGTGTAAGGGAAATTTTTTTTATTAGCCTAAAATGATATTTATGAAAACGGAGATTTTTGAAGAAAGGAGGATTACCCATTCACCCCCCCCCCCTCTGACTCTGCCTATGATATGTTATGACAACATTTGTAATGTATTTTTAAAAAAAATTAAATTATTTAAAATAAATTGCTTATTTAAAACCAAACTACTTATTTTTAGGTTATGATTTTTTTTAGGCCATAAATTAATCAAAATGGGTAGTATTTTTCAGGGACGAGAACCCTCCTTCTAAAAAAAACTAGTTTGGGTTCAGAGTTTAGACTAGAAAAATAATGACTTATTAAAATTGTTAAAATAACAGAAACATCATATTTTTTAAAAATTTAATTTGTATCGCCATAAAAATAATTTATCATCATAATTATAATATATTATGTATAATATACAAACAATTTTAAAAATAACATTATATTTCTATTTTAAAAATTTTTACGAAAAATGGCCGACTAGTAAATATAACAAAAATAATTACTAGAAAATGAACAAAAAACGTTTTTTTTAAAAAAATTAGTATTTTTTGAATAAAAAAAACAATTGTTTTATATAAGAACTCTTTTTAAATAGGAAGTCTTTTAAATAGGAAGTCTTTTATAAATAAAATCATAATTTACATGTTTTTATATTATATTATTTTTAACATATAATTTAAAATTTAAAAAAAAGCTTGAACCCTGAACACTAAATTTTAAAAAAGGGTTTGGGTTTGGATTCAGCTAAATATAGAGGGTTCGTGATTTGGGTTCGGATTCTCGTCCCTGGTATTTTTATTATAAACGAATTAATCTTTTGGGCGTTATTTATAAATTATTGGACAGTAAATTTATCGAAATTGACAGTATTTTTTAACAAAAAAACAATTTGTGCAGTATTTATATAATATTTTGTAGTAAAAAAATTAAACTGAATTTTAATTAAAATTTTATTGTATAGTATTTATTATACAAATATCTTTTTATTATGAGCTATCAACAGGGTTGCCATGTCTACCCCCCCCCCCCCATCAGCGGGAGGCTCCCGCAATTTTTTAGTTTACACGCAGACATCTCTAACCCACAAAACTACCGTAATTGGAAATCTCCCGCAAAAATCTACCGCAATTTTTTTAAAAAAGTATATAAATAATAATTTAGAGAGACATTAATGGATTATTTTTATATTTTTAAAATAAATTTTAAATATTTATTCGAAAAACATGTCTAGTTAGTAAATTTCTTTCTATCCTGTTTTATTTCTTATCCAATAATAAATCAACATCATTTAATTTATATAAGTCAGTACAGGGGAGTATATCAACATCGATTGCAATACAAAAATATTCTCAATAATAATAAATAATACAGATGAAACTACATTTGCGGAAATCGTATTCATCTATCATGTAGTTCAACATTCACAGAGCTATATCATCACAATGTGGGTCGAATTTTTTTCTCATGATATTTAACGACTCCATTATAAGTGCAAACCTTACTTATGGCAGAACAAAAATGAGCAAGGCTATCACAAGTGTTTTAGAACCTGAATCCTAGAGGTCAATTCTAGACGATTTGAAAGATGGGCATCCATATGCAATTCTAACAGATGAATCTAATAAGGGAAATATTAAAACATTTCCCTCGATCCTTCGCTTTTAAACAAGAATAAGAACATTTCAATAAATTAAAATTTTTCCCTCGGATAGTGAAAAATCTAACGATGTAGCTAGCCACATAATAAATATAGCTGATTTAAGGTTATCAATGGCATGCCAGCTTTCTGCGCTTATAATGCCTCTAAAATTTTGACCAAAACCAAAGTTACCGATTTGAGGCAGCACAATAATGAATTAATACAAATTGGCTGTATATGCCACATACTGCATAATTCTTGCAAGAAGGCAATGAATGTACTATCTGTGGATGTAGAAATAATTGTGATGAAATGTTTTAACGAATTTAGTTCATCAACTAAAAGAGTTAACGAATTAAAAGAATTGGTGAAGTGGTCTGACTTGGAATGGTGTGAGTTGTAGCGATATGTACCTATCAGGTGGTTATTATTAATACCTGCCATTGATAGAATTAAAATTTAACTAACCCTTAAAAAAATATTTCTTAAATAAAAATTTTAAAAGCTGTCCTAAAATTTTGAAAAATTTTTTTGAAGGTGAAATAGCAGAAGCTTATTTGGGATAAGTTTCACATGTAGGAAATCAATTTCATGCAGTTGTTGCAATCAGAATATTCTTTATTAAAAAAGATTCACAGAATCATGCAACAGGTTCATCTCTACAGTTTAAAATTGATAATAAATTTTATGGCGCTATTGCTAAAATTGTTATATTAAAATGTTCAAATAATACTCTAATTAATATATAAATATTACTAACCAGCAACTGGGCAGAGGGCAAAATTTTTTTTTTTAGCAATTTTTATATTTCTACCGCAATTTGAAAATTGAACAAATATGTTATATGAAAATTAATATCAAATATGACGTTAGTGAATTAAATAAAATATCAAAAATATTATTAAGATTGCAGTTTTATTGAAGATGATTTATATATATCTTAATATTTAATTAAAACTTACATGTTATTGTACAACAAGAGCCCCATTAGTAATTATATAAACATCACTTTTATTATATGTTATCAAGAATATTTTTTGAAAATTAAAATAATATATAAAAATTAGTAAATTAACAAATATATCATTTATTATATCATTTGAGCAAATCTAAAATCTAAAAAATAGAAAAAAATTTATAAATGTTACTATTTAAATAATAATACATATTAGTGTACAAGAGTTTTTTTTTTAACTTTTGAATTTATTATTTTTTATAAATTTTCCAAATCATTTTAGGGTTGAAGCCCATTTTAAATATCTATTTTGACATCATTAGACACTTTGAGAATTCTGGTTTCAATAAATTTATGAGCATGATATTGTTACATTATCATCATTAGAATTATAAAAGAAATATATTTTTGCACCACATTGTTCTCCTCTTCTTTTTTTACTAATACATCTAAAATTAATTTTCTTACCCTCTTCTGTATCATTTTTATATGGTTGTCCCCAGGAATTACAATTTAGATAATCCTGGACTTCAGAATTTTTGAAGCAATATCTTTTATTTTTTATTTTTACTATTACCAGGTTACTAGATGAATCTGAATAATATTCATCAATTGGTTTCATTAAATTCATTCTAAAAGTTAGTGTTAAAAATTAAAACTGCCCAAGTAAATATAAAAACTGGAAAATTATTTATTACCTGACCAAAAATTTTAATTACCTTTCATTTTAAAACTACTTGTTTATTTTAAATACTGCCAACTCAATAAAAAAAGCTTGAATATTGAATATTAACTGCCCAAAAATTTAAAATGTTTTTCCCCCTTCCCATTTAATTAAAATACTGCCATTTTGATTTATTTTAATGCCCATTTCTTAATAAAAAACTGCATGAATAATTTGTTGCCTTTTTTATAATTTAGTTTCAATAGGCTGTTTTTTTACTCTAACTCATTTTAAGCCTTTTTAAATTTAAAAATCTGATTTTACTGCAAATTTATTGCAGCACTTTTAGAATACCTAATATATTAATAACCTTTGAATATTTTATAATTTGTATAAAAAATCTATGAAAAAAAATAATATAAATTAAATTAAGTTGAAAGATTTATAGCAAAATTATCTAAAAATTATAAATTAGCTTTTCTAAACATGTTGGAAATACTTTTTTGGTAAAATCAGATTTTTAAAATTTTATAAAAATACTCAGAGAAATAATTTAAAGTTAAAAAATAAGAAATTGACTGAAAAACATATTGAAACATATTACTAACATATTTGTAGAAATTGGCTTGGGTTCGATTAGACCAGAATTAAATATGTTTGGTGGTAATTATACTTGGCTATTTTATTAATTTAAAATAACGTTACAAGTAAAATTAAAATTCTTAAATTTATAAAAGTCAAAAAATCGGAATTTTATCAATATTATTGATCTTTATGTAAGTAATTTTGTTTTTCTTGTTAACATGAAAGTAAATTTATGTTTTTTATATATAATAAAATATTGCCACAGAACAGTAAAAAACTAAACATTTTAAATATACATTGAACATATTATATCATAACAATATTATATATATTAAATTTTTTAGTGCCTTAATAAAAATCAAGCTTTTCAAGAAATGCATATGTTATCCAACTCAACTTTTTCCATTCCTGGTGATCCTGATTTCCCCTTAAATCCGGTTTATGCGAAACCTAAAAATAGAATAGATGAAGGTATGAATCAATTTATTTTACTTTAAAATATTTATATAAGATGTTTTAATCAAAGATTGACGATGGCATTTTCCCCTTCCTTTCTTATTCTAGTCAAAATGAAGTTCCATTGCAATTTTGGAATGTTCCTGATAAAATATACCTGATGTTATTTCTATTTTTAAACACATTATTTATTAATCTAATTCTTCGATCAAAGGGCATTTTTTATGAACCTGAACCCTTTTTTAAACTTTGTCAATCCGAACCACCCCTAGTTTTTTGCAAAATTCTATGATTGGTTTGGTTTATGCTAATTTTATTAAAATTCCTTTTTATTATTTATAAAATATATAATTATAATTATAAAAAAAAGATTTTTTTTTCATATTTATTTAATCATATGATTTGAACTGATTATGCATTTGAATAAATTTAATATGGTGAACAAAATATAATTAATATAATATTATTTAATTTCATAAATATAATCTATATTTATGAAATTATAATACATTTTGCCTTAGTATCGTTTACAGAGTTGGATAAATTTACAGATATTATGTTACAGATGGTGTAACATTATATAATGTAAGAACCTATTATTCTATCTTTTTGAAAAGATAACTAAGAGTTCTATAACCTTTATATTTTTTTGAGTAACATAAAAATTTATGGTGTCAACTGATTGTGATGATATAATTGCGTAAAATGATGAATTAATACAAAAGTGCACTGATACCATTCTTTTAGCAATTACTTATACCATACTAACAGAGTATCAGCTAGGGTTATTAAAAAAACCCGGTCGATTTTTAAGATGGACCCGATTAATTTTTGCCAAACTAATATTATATAAGCTGGTGATTCGCTGATATATGGCAGAAAGGTTTCGACCTCTATGTGCCAAATCGTAAGGCTTACATAATATTATTTTGATTAAATCTTAATCGGGTCATTTTTAAAAATCGATCCGAATCGGGCTTTAGAACAAATCTAGTCTAGTGTCAGCACATATTACCGACACCAAATATATTATGGTGTAGAGCTACTCCGATCCACAAATTTTTTATTTATCCGATTCGATATTTCCGGTATTACTACAAAACCGATACAAATCCTATATTTAAATTGATAGATACCCTCTATATTTGAATAAATGCTATATAAAATTAATATTTTCTATTCAATCAAGAATTAAAGTATATTTTTATTCTCAAAAAGTTAATTATCTCATTTAATATATGGGCAATGTTTATGGCTGAATGTTGTGTCGTTAAATGGCTCGATTTAGCCCAACGTCCATCAAGATTTTAGCCAAAATATTATTACTCAAGCCTCAAAATTTTGACAATAGATGTCCAAACCTTTCGGCCAACTGTTGGTAAAATATTCAAACTTGGATAATTTGCTTTTGGCTAAAATCTTGAGTTATCCGTTTAAAAACACTAGCTTAAAGTGACTCGTTAGATATCTTAAATCATATGCAGATATAACAAAAAAGAATTGTTAGCTACTCTATCATTTAATATTATTATGAAAATATTGACCCGATCCTATTAAAAAACACGAAATATCGGTGCCGATCCAATATTGAATATGGGAACAGCCCTAATATAGTATAGTTATAAGAAGAAAATCAAGGATATAATTCACAACTTATTATTTTTTTATTTATTTATCGTTTATAATTAATTTGTGAAATTCATATCAAATTAAACGAAATAGGAAATAAAGATTAACATCAACAGCACCTTCTCTCATTTTTATCAGTTAAATGTAATAATCTTATAAAATTTGTTTTTTTTATTTAAAAAAAGAAGCTAAGATGGAACAATATTTTACATTTAACTACCAAAATTAATATAGAGAGCATCCCAAAATATCATGAACAATAGATAGAACATTACAATAATATAAGAAATAAATAAACAGTGGATAATAAACAATAAAAAAACTAGGTTTAACATATCGCATGACTTAATCTTTATAATTAGATTGTGTATGAATAGGTTTTCAGGGAAATTTTATTTCGAGATGTTATTTTTTGGGTTTTTATCCAGGGAATTATTTTCTGAAAATCTTTTTATTTCTTGAACAATGATATAAAATAAATATCAGTATATATATATATAGCATTAACCAGCCTATAAAATAAGCGATCAGAAACTTAAAAAAGTCAAGATTCCGAAAGTGGAAAAGTGTTATGGGGAAAATATATTAATACTAGCATTGCTTTTTGAATACCAAACTTATTTAAATTTAATATTTTAGAAAATTTAAGAGGATATTTCCTGCAATTGCGCCAAGAAACGGGTATGAGACTCATTGAAAAGGTTTTTGAGAATGCCAATTGCAAGCCAAGTAAAGTAAGTTAATTTCCATTTACATAATACTAATTTATACTTTAAATTAATGAAGGTCACTGTTCAGTCTAAAGCCGATTTTCAAAGACCAAACCACTTTGAAAACCAAATGGGACCATGGATAACATTATAAAGGCCAGAATCGGGCCAGTTTTTTAAATATTTTTATTATTATTTCTTATACAAAATTAAATATCATTATAAAATTTAAATTTGCAAAAATAATAAAATATGATAGATAGAACTAACACAACTAAAGGTCAGTGCGGCCCATTGAAATTTTTGAAAAGATTTTTCGGCACTACCCAACCCATATAATAATTTTGAGGAGGAAAAATATAAAAATTTGCCTAATTCTTTGTTTAAAAAAATTCTAACTTCTTGCTTGGATCGTTAAAATATTTTGCACAAGTTGCCTGACCCACAGATTGTATGCACCAAACAACATTAGTTTATCTATATTATAAAATATTATTCATTAACATTAGATTTAAAACTTCATTAGATATTCCATTTTTAGTTTGGTAATATAATTATGTTCCTTGTTACTTAACCTCCTGCTTAGTTATTTGAATGACCAAATAATCTCTATTAGATATACTAAGTATAAGGAAACCTATATGCAAAAACATAGGTGTTTTATTATGGCATATCCATGTGAATCCAATATAGGTTATGAATTTAATATACATTTGGCCATAGATATAAACTTATCTTGTAAATTTAACGTTAATGGCAAATAATATTTAGTAAGTGTAAATAATATAACAAAAATGAAATTAATTAGGTTATAGCATTTGAATAGATAATAAATAGTTGTATTCATTGTTTTTTTTAACAACCACTTAGTAGCTCATAACTCCGATGAAGCGTATAAAGAACTTATTGACAATCACCTTGTGAATCCAAACATAAATCAGTTATTATCTGCAAAAACTAGTATTTACCACGATTGAGGTTTCAGAAGCAATCAACTCTCTTCCGATAGACTCCGCTGGAGGGATAGATGTCATCAGGCTCCTATTTCTTTGAGATTTGATAATTATAGACAATGCCAGCTCGTACATATTATTACAAGCAATATCAAGTCAATGAAGGATTACCACGCAATTTAATACTTTTATTCGTTGGTGTTCGACTAATGGTAACCAGATCGAGGCATTCGACTTGCTATAGAGCGAATATCCAGAATGATTATTTCTAAAATAATATCAAAATGAATATAAGATTCATTATCAGATTTTGGCATCTTACAAATTAGGATTTAAGATTAAAGGAGGCTGCGAAAGGCACCCGAACCTCCATCAGTCAATAATTTAACATAAAAGCAAAATCGTAAACTATCAAACCAAATATTCCCAAAATTAACTGCTTCAGATCACTAGGGTTCTTATTCTTATTTCCTGAAATTCTCTGATTGGAATAACACCCATATTGGAGGATTTGTTAGAATACATGGTTACAAATTACCCTTCCTAAATAATCGGAAGGACTTATCTACGCTCTCCTTTACCTCTATCAATCGTTTCATTCGTATCTTCTATCAGTGAAATCAAACAACTGAGGATTCGTTACACAATCTCATGTTATCTAGTTTGTTGGCAAATGTAACAAATTAGCACACAAAGTTTTCTAAATGATTGGGATTTAGCTAATGTGCCACCCTCCGTTGACTATTTATTTTAGGGTAATGACACAGCAGCTTACAAACCTCCTTTCATTAGTTATGGATATATCTAGTTATGAAGCTAGAAACCAATCCAAGCAAAACAACATTCTGTAGGAAGCTGAATTTAGATAGGCAGTGGTAATTAGACAAGTAACGCAAATATCTCAACCTTTAAAGTTAAAAATGCAGGTCACAAGTACCAAATAGCAAGATTACCCCACTATTATCTTTTTAATAGATATAAATACTTAATAAAATTATTCAAAAAATACTATAAGGATTTTTCAATCATTAATATTCGACCTGATGGGTATACACTGATTCATGGGACAGAGTTAACATATGTATCGTGATTTCAAATGTAGCGACATTAATTCCTTCTCTCTCCCCCCGCCCCCTCTTCCCACTTGAAAAGCCTAAAATATTCCTACATATCTGTTGATAGCATATTCATTCCGCCAGCTGTATCAACCTCCAGTTAGAAAAGAGGCTAAATCTTTTTAAATTTATGAATCAAAAAATAAACAATCTCGGGAGCATTTAAAATTCAAAAAATAAGCTATAAAAACGACGAAAAATTATAATGATTTTTTTTTTCAAAAAAATTACATCTTGCTCTTATTGACTAATTTAATTTTTTTACCTTTTAGTAGGTTACGATATAATTTTCTTACTATATTTGAAATAAATTTTCATGCAAGTAAAAATATAATTTTCAATTGGCCCGAACCGAGAACAAATTGCATAAACCTAACCAAACCACAGGACCCATTCAGCCACCACGATTCGGTCAAAAGAAAACTAGACCGCTGACCTTCATTAGTGTAAATTAACCTGAAAAAAATTTATTCATTTTTTTTAAAAAATACTGTGTTATTCTTTTCCAAGAAACGTATAGTACTATATAAATATAACAATTTTTTATTTTTATATTTTATAAATTTATTACTTGGAAACAGTGGTGGATGTGTTTTTGTAGACGAAAATTTCTTGATAAAAGTTTAGCTGCTCCTGGTGAATAGAAATGCCATTTTTTCAATGTATTAAAAGAAAGCTACATTATATTTGTATATTAAAAAAAATTAAAATGTAATTTATACATTATACGCGAAACTTATTTATTTTATATAATATTGTAATTATATTTTCTTTATATAATGGTACAAAAAGAATAAATATACAATGAAACCTCAAAGGGAGGAAATTGTTTTCTGGTAAATTACTGATTTTTCGTTATTTGTCTTTGCATATATCATTAGTAAGATGTAAGAAATACATTTAAATTCATATTTATTAAAACTAATTATTTAATAATATATTATCTGTTACTCTTAATCTAGTATAGTTTATATTTAAAATATAAACTCATATACAAATTTACTATAAATTTGGTTGATAAAATCATGCTTTTGTGTTTTATTGTCAAAATAATTTGTTCGTGTAATAAATCAATATCACGTAGTCGGCAGTAGTGATCTGCATCGGGCCTAATTTTTCAAGCCCGGCCCAGCCCGTCGGGTCTAATTTTGCAGATCTTCGGCAGAACGACTTGAGGCACAAATTTCAAAACTTATGCCAATATTTAGTGTCTAGTTTATGTCTAAATAATCTTTAAAGACATCGCAAGAATTAAGGGTAGTGAGCTATAAGTAGGGAGGTAACATGGAAACTATGAAATTTCCAAGATTTCCCTATAGTTTCCCCAATTTTTATTTTGTTATTTTGATCAAATAATCTGGATTTTTACAATATTTTAGTGAAATATTTTTCTTCTTGGTTCATATATCATATTATGTTTTGTTTTTGTTTGTAGGTTCATTATCGATAATATATTAATAGCTCACCCTAGTAATGTTCATCGGAAGGAATTTTTTTATTAACTGAAATATATTTGATTTAAAAAAAACTGAAATAAGGATAAGGAATATGATTAACGGTCAAATAGCTATAGGATAGGGTAGACCAACTTTTTCTAATTCTAATTAACTAATAATATTTAAAATTTCTGAATAAATATTATTAGAAAATATTGATAATTTCGCAATAGCCTTTATGTTAAATTGTCCATCTTTCATAATTTGGAAGAAATTATTTCAATCTTTATAAACAGCATATAAAATGCCCTCAATATATTTACTCAGTAAAAATTTGCTAAACAATGAATATGAAAGGATTAAAAATATAGTAACCGTAAGATAAGATAAAAATAAAAATTTGACCTTTATTAATGATGGGTGGTGTATATTTTATTATAGCAATCGTCCCATATTCTATAAATCAGGGATGTGAACCCGGACCCTGAACCCTCATATTTTGGCTGAACCCGAACCCGGACCCTTTTAAAAAGTGGAGGGTTTTCAGGGTATTATAAAAAAATTTCTAACATAAAAATTTTTTTTTTAAAAAAAATGTAAATATAAAATTTTTATAATTTTATTAATTTTTTTCGTGGAATCATTTATTATATATTAGCGTTTTTCTTCCTGGACTTCATTTCATTTTATTTAGAGATATACCATAAATTAATAACAAAACACTTTGGACACATTTAAGCTTTAAAAAAATTAAAATATTCAAAATGCTTGATTTGATTATAAATATTTAATTGTATTTATTATTTTATATTACCTTTCAGTTATTAAGAACCTTATTTGATAATAGTTATATTTAGATTTTTTATATACTTAATTAATATATACTATGTTGTAAATAATTATATCAATATTTTATAAACAGTTGGGAAAACCAATAATCCTATTTTGAAAGATAATCTTTCCATAAAATATATATAAAAAATTATTATATTTGAGTTAAATAAAATTGTGATAATACCCAAAACTCTATTAGGCTACTACAATATCTACTGATTGTGGCGAGAACAATGATAATGAAAGCAATATTGATGATCTGGAAATTTTACTATTAGATAGAGAGAAAAAAATCAAATTATCGTTAGATAGAAAGGAGCAAAAAATACCTATTGTATCTTTATTAGAAAAGTTCTCCGAAGTAAAGAGAATAAATAAAGATGGAAATATTTTAAAATTCTGGGAAGAAAATTCTTATATATATCCAGAATTATATACCTTGTCTAGAATCGTCATGGCTGTGCCAGCGGCACAAGTACAATAATTTATGTATTATAAAAATGACTCTTTTAGGTAAGCGTAGAACGAGGATTTTCTTCGTTGAAATATATATTGTCCAATTTACGAGGTAATCTGAAGGAAGATATTTTAGAAGATATCATGATTGTTCGATTGAATAAAATATTTAAAATATAAATTATTTCATTTTGAATTATGAATGTGTATATATTGAAGTATAATAAAAATAAAAAAATGAATGAAAAAAAAGTCTTATTTTGAGTCATTATTTTCCCCTACCCGGACCTGAACCCTGGACCCGGGTCCTTTTTAAATTTATTACAGGACTCGAACCCGGACCCTTTTTTTTGTCTAAGGGTTCACATCCCTGCTATAAATTAATTGAAGGACCAATATGCATATAGGAGAATATATATCTTGTGAATTTTAAAGTAATTGAAGAAATAATAAACACAAAAATTAATATAATAAAGGATAATGCAAGTAATGTAGAAAGGAAACACAAGAATTAATATAATAAAGGATAATGCAAGTAATGAAGAAAGCCTGGACACTTGTGAGAAAAAAATAATATCGAATACATTGGGTCTGCATCTCATGGACTTAATTTGCTTTTAAATAATCTAGCAAATAAAATATTGCCAATATAAAAATGAAGCAAAAGCCCAAAATATCATAAAATATGTAAAATTAACACTCTTTTACATATTTAAGGAAAACAACTATTTAAGGATAAAAATAGGATTATTTCCTTAAAGTTGCCTAGCCCAGCTCGTTGAAAAGTATAGTTTTTTTGATAATTTAAAAATGAAAATATTTTGAGGTTACTTCATATTTTTATAGAGATAAGAGACAAGATTTAATCTTTTTGATAATGAAATTTTTTAAATGATCTTACAGCGCTATATTATTTTATAAAGTTATTTCTACACAAAACAGTAATGGAAACGGACACACCAAATTTATCTGACGTTCAAGCATTTATTGATGTCAGAAAAATCTCTTACTAAATGAAATTATAGAGATCGAACAATATAAATAAAATACGGAGATTGTTTGTTGCTGCGATATACATTACCCTGATCATATAACTGACCCAAGATATTGCGGATTTAATTTTAAAGACAATAAAGTTGATGAGGATTAGATGTTATTAAACCGATTTTCTGGATACTTGGATGTTGCGAGACAAATTGATCGATTTTAGAGATCTGGATCGTATTTCAAACGAAGATAACAAATAAATAATTGAAATTTTATCTTGTTTAAATAATACTAATAGTATATTTTTTAAATGAAATATGAAAAAAAAAAATATTGACCTGTAAAATAATTTTTTAAAAGAAATTTCCCGTTATTTTCCCCAAATTTACCTCATTTATAGTTTCCCGGGAAATTTACATCCCTTGATATAATCAAAATAAATAAAGTGTGAAATTTGATCTGGAAGAACGACTTGAGGCACAAATTCCAAAAGGTAAGTCAACATATAGTCCATATCTTGTGCCTAAATGATTTTCCTACCAGACACCGGAAGAATTAACTTTTCCCTATAATAACTCACTTCTCGTTAATTTGTTTGATATTCCGTTTTAAGAATATGGAGGCACAATTAAGGCATTAAATATTTATCCGAGCTAAACAATTGCTTTATTTTTAAATTAAACTTTCCTGTTTTACTCATAACTCACTATGTAGAGGTTATTGTAGGTATAAAAATGTGCTCTTCATATATTTCCTAATATTTATTTATAGACGATTTTTGAGATCAAAGATGTTTGTGTTAAGATTTGTAAGGGCTAGATGATTTAAACAGGAATAGCCCCAAATTAAGAATTGACCTTTTTTAAAGGAATTTAGGTTATACCATAAAAGACCGAGCGGTTCTAAGATATACAGAATCTGGTCAGATTAAAGGACACGTTGAATAATCGCATTGATTATATCTAGTGATACGTCCTTAGAGGTAGTTCAGACTATGTCGTCCGAGTCCACAGGACTACAACCAGTGCGAAGGTGTGGTAGAGTAATGAGCAGTTGAGACGAATACCATTAGCTCACTTCAAAATTTGAATTTTACAAATAGAATCCTAAATTATGCGCACTTACGTAATTATAATAAGAATGTATCTAGTAGAAAATTGTATATATATTAATATATTTGTAAAAAATGTATCGGTTAAAGATATCTAAATACAGATAATTTTTTAGGAAATATATCTTTATATGGATCTATTTGAAAAGTATATTATAACAACTCTCGTAATGAATATTTATATTTGAAATATATTTTTTTAAACTTATTTCTATTTATATTCAAACATTTAACATATTTCTATTTATATTGAAACAATTATTTTGAAGCATATTTCTATTTATATTCGAATACATTTTTTGAAAATTTGCCCCACCCTGCTTGCAGTATAATATGTTGAATCAATATTCTATCACCATTCGATTTTGATAAAATATTAAATATATTAAATTTAATTTAGATTTAGTCTAAATAGCTTCCAAATACTTATTTTTTGGAGATATTAAGGTTCAAAGTGAAAAAAATCCTATTCTTATTATTATTGGTTCCCATTCAACTATTGTTTATTTACAACTACAAAACTACATGATTTAAATAGTAAATATTTTTTACAATACAGTATATAGACCTGTCCGCCAGTCGATATTTTTGTTCAGGCCGAAAATGCACGTTTATGAAATCCAGCCGCCGATGTGCCGGTGCATAAATCTAAAAAAACATAATTTTCATATTTTATTCTAATTCAACATCACTGTTATAATTGTATATGTCATCAGGGAAATGTCTCTAACATCGGAGATGATAGATCTTGATATCACTGTTCCATACCCTGATACCCATTTTCAAATTTGGCGATTACAATTACGATAATAACAAAAATGTCCAATTGGGAACATTAAAATTAAATGTGGCATAGTATTTTAATTAAACTCGAATAAAAAAATTGAAAAGGATTATCTCAAACTAGGATCTCTTAGAGGAAATATAAATTTTTCTTTCGAAATTTAAAGAAACGATTGAATTTCTATCTTCATAAGGACAT